AATAGTATTGCATTGCTTTACAAAATAAATTTTTTGTCCCTTTATTATTTGTAGATTTAAATACTTGTATAATTGAATATTTATATTTTCTTAATATTTAGTAAAATAGAAATTGTACATGCCTTTACTGTGAAATCAAGACGTATATATATATTTATTTTTTTAATGCTTTAATAGTATGCCTAATGTTAATGTCAAGTTTGCCAAATTAACACAAAGCCCGAATGTTATTTCTACTAGGATAAACGTAATAATTTCATTTTTATTTACTCATTTATACCTTATATTTTTTAATTGTTAAATATCAATTCAATTATATTAATCATGTTAACTTATTATTCATTTAATTTATGTTTTGAAATTGACTACATGTTTTAATATATTTTGTTATCTGAGTGGATTCCAAGAATTTCCTGATTTTTGTCCCGTTTAATATTTCAACATTATTAAAATTGAATTTATAATTATATTGTTTGTCCAGTGCACCTGTACATATCATTGGGATTTTTTTTTTTTTTTTTTTCGAAATTGACATTTTTTGTTTATTTAGAAATATTACATTCTGTCACATCAAGGACATTTATAATAGTGTTCAGAGAGCACACTCACACTCTATTTACAATAATAAAAATAAATAATACCGAAACTTAATATAATAAATACAATAAAATGAAATAAATGTATATAAACAAAAGAACTAACCTAATCATACACACTCGGGCAGCACTTTGGAAGTGTGTGTCAGGTGATGGCACAACTGAACATTGATCGTACATTGATTGGGATTATTAGGATTTGATTTTTGCTGTGTCCCATTTAATATTGATTAGGAAAAACTTCAAATTTAATTTTGATAATACAATTTTTCTAATTATTATTTTATATTTCTTATCTGTTTGTCTTATTTAGGATATTGTATGTGCCAATTTTATATTCTAAGTACGATCAGGCTTGGCAAATGTTTTTTTAATTGTATCTGTAATCGTGGAATGTATTTTAATTTTTTAAAAAGGTATAGCTAATTATTGTTGTAGTAATTACTTTATTACTGTTTTGAATACTATTCTTATTATAGATTATTTAAAAGTAATCTGTAAATTATTTGGTTTGTTTATTTACAATGGTTATTATGCTTCTATATTGTAACATCTCTGTTATATTTTACAAATAATAATATAACCTCGAAAGATAGCTAGTTTTATACTGTTGGGATACTTCCAAATAAATAAGAGGTTATTGACTAATAAACAATATTATAAGAGTATTTATATATTTATTTATCTCGGGTGTGGGTTACTGACATCCAGATCAAAACACTCAGTGTAATAATGGTGCCAGGAAAATAATGAATAATTACTAAGCTTTTACGAGTATATTATGTTCAACAATATACGTATTAGGTTCAACATGCATGGAACTGTATAAGCTAAATTACTAACTACACTAATATAATAATATTACATAACAATAAATATAATAGAACTCACTAATAAAACAATCTATCAAAATAATGTGCATATAAATAACTAAAATAACAATATTAACATGCTCATCCTAGCTAGATAAATTTCTATATAATGCTACTTAATAGCTCGAGAAATAAATATGATAAACATTAACAATAGCAATAATAGTTTAACTCCCAAACAGACGTCAGCTTCCAGAAGGTATCCTATTCCTTGGCATCCTAGCAAGATATCCCCACTGAAAAGAAACAACTATATAATTTCTCTATGTTAATCGATTCATAAGGTCGATAGGAAATCGATATTGATAATGACCCCTCATTACTGAACTACACGAGGTAGTTCAGTTTGCATGTGAAAGGTATCAGTAAATGTGTTACCAGCTCGTGGAGATTTATCCTACAAAGGTGTATTCTTCCATGGCTTCTTTATCACAGAATGCACTGCTAACATGGGAGACATTCACTCGTGCTAACTCTCACCATTTTCCGAACCTTCCTACGGTTTTCTCAACTCAGTGTTGCCACCAGTCATAGTTCGCAGGTCCAATCCTCCAATATAGCCCCCCCCCCTCACACTCAGACAAACTATTATTATTGTTATTAAAATTAAACACTGATTTTAAAATGAAGTCAATTGTTGATTGGCAAGCTAACCTTTTTTCTATAGATACTATTTCTTTCTTTGTTACACTAAATTCATTTTTCTTCAAATGCTTTCCAATGTTCTGCCAAACACAACTTCCAAGATAGTGACACTTTCTTCTACTCAACTCAAGCTCCCTTGGAGATATTCTCTCTTGTACTTCCAAACAACTAATCTCTCTGCCAAACAACAACTTCCAAGTTGGTAATACTATTACTGGGTTTTTCCCACTGGAGCCATGATACCTTCTCCTAACCTCTCTTCACTACAGCCCCACACATCAACTGCTGGCCAAAACAAAAACCTTTGTCCCTCTCTAAGATTTTCCTTCTTGGGAAACTACAGAGCAGCCATTTTCTTTTCCCTGCACTAGTAAAACTAGATTAGCTTGCCTTTTAGTTGTTCAACATTAATTTATTAAACCCTTTTTAATCACTTCCAATAAAGGTGTACATTACAATATAATGTTAAATTTCTTACCAGTTTTGATGTTACTTACTTTCCCATTTAGGCTAAAAACTAATTATAAAGAATAAATTTTCCTTTATAGGAAAGTAGAATAAAAATTACTCTTAAGGATATATATACATTTTTTTTTTATATTAATATATAATACATAATATCCTTTATATTAACATTTCTAGTTGTATTTACCAGGACCTGCATTGAAGATTTAACATTTGTTTTTAATCAATATTGATAAGACTAGAAACTTTTTTTTTCAATTATTTCTTAACTAGAAATTTATCCCATATAAATTTTCAAGTAAAAGTTTTACAGGACTTAAAAAAAAAGAAACCTAATAATTGAAAGCTTTATTGATGCAATTGTTTTAATTTAAACATCTGTCCAAAGAATGGTAATTTAGCATAACATTCTACTCCACCAAAGGAAATAAAAGAATCCGGTAATTTAATTTGGATAAATTATATCTGTAATACAAACTTTTTTCCTTAAATGTTCCAACCAAGCTATTATAAAAGTTCTAATCCTTAGTATTAATTATTCGATGCTTAGAAATATTTTTAAAAAAAATTACGTAAAATAGTTTAGTAGAAAGTATTTCTCCTAAGTAGGGCCAAAATGTCCATTAAAATAAATGGAGAATCTGAAGTGTGAAACTTCTCAAATTGGTGTACATAATAATAAGCTAAGAAATAGTAAACACAATATTTCAGAAGTAAAATAATAACCAAAATTGCACTTACTATAAGTTAAATATTATTAAATTAAATGATTAATTAGCCTGTTCTTACTACAAGTATGTTTTGACTTGTAGGCTTCGTTTAATTAAGAGGGCAATGGTATAACTACTCACAGGGTTAAATATAAGTTTTGTTAAATTGTTGGATATGCTTGACACTAACTATTTTATCAGAAAAAGTAAGTTGTAGTTCCTTACTAATAAGAAATTTATATTAATCTATACCTGCCTTTATAGTACTTCTAGTAAGTTATTAATATCTAAAAGCTTTACTTTTTTTCTTACACCACTTTAAATAGTTCAATAATAAGTAAATCCTAGATTAAAACTGGATCATTGTCAGTTACAAGGAAAAAATGAATTGACAATGTTTGATCAATTTAATTAAATTACATGATAAATTAATATTAGAACATTACAACCTGCTACCATCAAAAGAATAAATTCTATATATTCAAAATGTAGTATGATAAGTTCTGACAAAGATAATTGACTTACATAGGCTTTTTGTCTTTCTATTTTAGCTATTATCATGCAAATAGTACTATGAACACCAACAAATCAAAATATATGAGAACACTGATACACTTGATAAGGATATTGCAGCAAAATTGTTACTTTCCAAGAATTTTCTTGTTTTCTAGAACTGAAAGTTGTGAAGTGAGATGTATTTCCTCCACACTAAATATTTATTTAGTCACCCATAGATAATAAAAAAACGACACGTTATTGTACGGTAACACCACCGTTACCTTCAACTACTGAATTGTTCGAAGGGAATGAAGAAAACAATGTTCTAAATAATTTTTTTAGAGTCTATGCATACCACCATCAGATTTGATTCTACTCAATCATTGTTCATACATGATTTACATTGAGGTTCGTCCCTATTGTGCCATTCCTGATTCGGTCTTATCTTGTTTTACCTTTGTTTCTCCGAAGGAATCTCATCTCAGAACTACTAAAAGTCCCTGCCCCCTACCCCTATATAAATTTGAGTGCTACCAGTGGGTGGTTCTCAACAAGCAATTTCATGTTATCATATTCCTGAATGCACATTTACTGCATTTATTTTTTTTAATACAGTTGTAAATATAATGAATGAATTTAAAAAAATTAAATAAATTAACAACGTACTGTAACAGAATTAAATTGAGTTCATATAATAATAGATCGTTCCAATTTTCCTTAATATCCAGAATGGTTAATTTTATTTAGAAATGTTTAAATGGAATTGTCTTCATACATATTAAGGTTTGTGGAATTGATAGTTTATGTGTATATAACAATTTTTGTATTTTGTTAATATATGATTATATAAATTAAATAGTAAGGTACTAATCCTTCCAAATCATTTAATTATCAGAGGAAAAGTAAGAGTTTAAAATAATAAAGAGTAGGGAAATAAGCAAGACTGCATGTAAAGAGCATCTCTTTTGCCATCGAATAGAAGGGGAAGGGGCTGAGAAATTTGACCCTTTTCATGGCACACAGTGCCTTATCTTCCTTGATCCTTCTCTTTTTGAAATAGAAGAGTTTAAGCTGGTTCACAATTGAAAGATTTATTATAACTGTTGTCTATAGTTTTCAATTGCAATTAAATAAAACCGAACTCACCAATTTACAACAGTTTTATGCATACAATACCCCAAAATTAATTATTTATATTTATTTATTTATTGTAGGCTGAGAGATTGGCTGTAGAATCACAGCTACCAGAAGAACCAAGTGATGATGACCAAGTCATTACTTTTCGGTTCCGCCCTCCAAATGGTGAAATGTTTGAAAGAAAGTTTTTGCCATTAAATAAATTGCAGGTAAAGTTTATGATGATTTTTTATTTATTACTTTTTAGCTATTGCTTTATATTTTGATAATAATAAAAGTATCAAATATTTTGCAGGATAGAAATATCAGGACGCAGTCATTTTGAGATTTTTTATTGTTCTGACCTTTCAACCCAAAATTATGGGTCATGATCAGGGCTGAAAATTTTTTTTAATAACATCAGAGATATAATACATAAAAAACAGAAAATAGTAGTGGTAAATAGTGATAGGTGATACATGAGAAAGCAAGTCGAATACCTAATGCTAAGTTATACAGACTTTAAAATAATATATGTAATCAACTTATAAAATGTGATATTTAATATTACTAAACATTTTTGCACTACTGAAGATGTTCAAGTTCTGGCACTTACGTACGTAAGTAGGCACTTATGTATGGTAGTACGTAAGTGGGAGGGTCCGAGGAGAAATTTTCCCATGTGTGCTTTCAATGGAAACCTCACCCTATCTCCCACTAACTGCTCTCAATCATCCATCTTGATTTGTTAATACAGATCCATCCCATATATCCCGATCCTTTCTCAAAAAATCTCTTACTATGTCCACACCTGCATATAGCGTTTAAAAATTATAGTAAAATAAAAAACTTGTACACCAGACTTAAAGATCCTGTTCCACTTTTACAACAGTCTAATATCGTATACCCTATTGCAAATCATTTTGAACCTATTGCAACTCTTTGAAAATCTCTGTCCTCCGAGCGCAATTTTTGGATAAGGGAACAAAAACAAGTCGCTTGGGGCTAGATCTGGTGAGTAAGGCAGATGGTTCCCCCTTGGCGGTCCACTGTTTGGACTGTATTTTTGTTTCCAGCATATAATGGTGTATCCAAGTTTCATCTACAGTAATTAATCGGCTTGTAAGGCCTTTATATCGGTGTTTGGAATAACGGTACCTGCTTTAATTAGGGGAAATATTAAATTAATAAAAAAAAATTATTATTGTCTACTGTTCTTGATAAAATAAGGTTGTAAGGACGATATATCGGTCTGCTCAAATTGATGTTTATGTCAATCTTTTGACGATTGATTGACACATTTATGAGCAATAAAAGTAATATTAATAAAAGTTTGAATCTCGATAAAATATGGTCTCAAGGCTGATATAGCGGCATTTGGAATACCGCTAACTCCTCAAATGAGAGGAAGAGAAGAACCAATAAAAATGGTAAAACTCTACCTATCTCGATAAAAAAAGTCATCAATTCGATATACCGATATACTAGCTAAGTAGTTTTGTCACAGAAAAATAACAAGCATTTCCCGCCTTCAGTCTAACCTTAATCTCTTCTTCAATTTCGTTTTTTATAGTTATCGTAGAACCTAGATACCTAAATTTATCTACCTGTTCAAGAGGTAGATAAATAAATAAAGCATAAATAGAATAGAATAGAATAAATAAAGCATTATTATTATTATTAAACATAAATTTGAGCAGATTCGAACATTGAAGAGACGAATATATAGGCATGATGACCTCATTTTATTGAGATTGTTAGAGTTCTAACCTTTTTTTTTTTTGTTCCCTTCCCCTTATTTGACCTTACGACCATATTGTATCGAGATTTAAAGCTGGAGTATTATTTTAATTGCTAATGAATGTTTCAATCCAACGTCAAGAGATCGACATAAACATAAAGATATGTGCAATGATCGATATATTGGCCTTTCGACCTTATTTTATCAAGATTAATAGACTTTGACCATGTTTTAAATTATTGTAATTTTTTTTTAGTTCTTTTGTTTACCTAATTTGAGAAAATACAGATATATTGGAGTCATGTCCTTATTTTATTAAGATTTCAACTTGGAATTTTATTTGTATTTCTAATTAATGTGTCAATCAGTCACCAAGGAATCAACATAAACATAAATTTGAGCAGTGACTGATATTCTAAAGACCGGTATATCGAATTGATGACTTTTTTTATCGAGATAGGTAGAGTTTTACCATTTTTATTGGTTCTTCTCTTCCTCTCATTTGAGGAGTTAGCGGTATTCCAAATGCCGCTATATCAGCCTTGAGACCATATTTTATCGGGATTCAAACTTTTATTAATATTACTTTTATTGCTCATAAATGTGTCAATCAATTGTCAAAAGATTGACATAAACATCAATTTGAGCAGACCGATATATCGGCCTTACAACCTTATTTTATCAAGAACAGTAGACAATAATAATTTTTTTTATTAATTTAATATTTCCCCTAATTAAAGCAGGTACCGTTATTCCAAACACCGATATAAAGGCCTTACAAGCCGATTAATTACTGTAGATGAAACTTGGATACACCATTATATGCTGGAAACAAAAATACAGTCCAAACAGTGGACCGCAAAGGGGGAACCATCTGCCTTACTCACCAGATCTAGCCCCAAGCAACTTGTTTTTGTTCCCTTATCCAAAAATTGCGCTCGGAGGACAGAGATTTTCGTCAAATGAAGAGGCAATCACCTTCGGGAACAATTATTTTGCAGAGAAAAATGGTGAGAACTTTTAGGACGGGTTACAGAGATGAAAGTATCGCTGGGAGAAGTGTGTAGAATTACAAGGAGACTATGTTGAAAAATAAATAAAAAATGTCATGTAATTTTATCAGAAAAGAAAACTTTTCAGACTACCCTCGTATTCATCTTTAGAATGTTGGAACCTGCTCAAATTTTTGTTTATTTCGATTCCTTGGCGACTGCTTGACATATTTATTATCAATATAAGTTGTATTCCAACTGAAACCCAATGAATCAAAATAAAATAAGATTGTATGGCCAATATATCAATCTAATGGGAGAAACAATATTTGTAAGATGGGCACAAAAAAAATTAATAAACAAAAATGTTGATATCTAACGATCTCTATAAAATAAGGTCATAAGGCCGATATATCGTTCTTTGATCAAATTTTTGTTTATGTTGATATCTTGTCGAATGATTGACACATTTATTAGTAATAAAAATAATATTCAATTTGAAGGAGGCCGATATATTTGTTTATTAAGAGAAAGACCAGAAAACTGGTTAGTAGTGCACACAAAAAAAAAATTATAAAAAAGAAGAAATTAAACTATTAATCTTGATAAAATAAGGTCGTGAGGCCGATATGTTGGTCTTTGGAATATTGGTATTTGCCTAAATTATGGAAAGCAGAGGACTACAAAAATAAAATTTAAAACATGGTAAAAGTCTACCAATCTTTATTAAAATAAGGTCATGAGGCCTATATATCAAGATCTGTATCGGCTGATCTCTTATTAGTAATATTAAATATCACATATTATAAGTTGATTACATATATTACTTTATAGTCTTTATAAAACTTAGTATTAGGTATTTCACTTGCTTTCTCATGTATCACCCATCACTATTTACCACTACTATTTTCTGTTTTTTTATGTATTATATCTCTGATGTTATTAAAACTTTTTTTTCAGCCCTGTTGATGACCTATATGTTTGGTTTCAAAGGTCAGCAACAATAGAAAATCTCAAAATGACTGCTTTCTGATTATTTATCTCCTCTGATATGTAGTACAATATACTAACTTCCTTCAATAATCATCAATGAATTATTGAAGGAAGTTAGTCTATATATATCTTTAAACGGTTTATATATCTTTAAATAGTTATGTATATCTTTAATAGATTTTCATGCAATTTATCTGGATTGTTCAAATTAAAATATTAACCTTAATAAAAACCTAAGAAATTTACAAATCACGTTCTTTTGTTTTAATAATATTTGGATGAGCAATTATTATTAGAAATAACTGTTATGAGCAAACATGCATCTAACAACAGAGTTTAAAGAGAATTATTTTTTATGAGAAAAAAAGCTTGGTATGCTGCACCTTAACCTTTTTTTTTTTTTGTCCCTTACCCATCATTTCTGACACACATTGCTTACACCTTAATATCCAAAATTAGATGGAAAATAAAACAATGGAGTGCTGCATGAGATTTTATATGTTCTCACTTTCCTGAATGCTGTTATCCTATTTTCCTGAATCAAAAACAAATTGCTTTCTTTTTAGCTTTTTTAATGGTTATGAATTTATGTTAAAAATTAGTAAAGTAATTATTTTAGTTATATTGGTTTTATATCAGTATATATGATTAAACTAATTTTTATTTTTGTGTTTAAATAAACATATATTTAATAAATAAATTTTTAAAAACCTATGGTACTAAAATCTCATGATGTGTATTGGGTATACTTTTTAAGGAAATGCTATTTCTAGAGATCAGCTATACATATCAATGCTTGATATGAAAATACCTTCTAAACTGATCCAACTGATAAATCACTGACAGGTATAGAATAGGTGGTACAAATCTGTTCACTTCAGAAAGAAATATTAGCTAAAACGATAACCTTGCATGTTTACTCGTTAACTTTGTCCTGGAAAAAGCATTAAGAGATTGGTATCTAGATATCTCGTACAATCTTTGATCGATCAATCCAAATCCTCACCTTTTCAGATGTCATTGACATAACACGGCATTCTTTTAATAGCATGCTACAATTATTTTTAATCTTGAAGGATGCAACAAACTATTTGAGTTTGATCATAAATGAAGAAAAAACCATTTATATGATTTATAAAAAAAACACCCACCCGTACATGGGTGAAGTTTCATTTGGAACTTATTTGAACTTGTATGATGTATTATAGGAGGATGAAAGACTAACTGTATGTTTTTGTCCTATGGGGTTTGATCTTGGCTCATTTATCTTCCTCAGTCGGAAGCGAATCAAAGTACTTAGTTACTCTTTCAAATGGTTTGTGAACATTAATCATTTGTAATTAACAGCGGGAGAGGAGTGCTGGCTGCACCGTTCTACAAACACTTGGTTTTTTTTATCATTCTTCTCTATTGTTTCACCTTTTTTAATTTCTTTTCTCTTTTCTGCCGTTATTTCCCATCTCCCAATTTCTCTTCCCATTTTTTAAATATATATATTATCAGA